TGATTACATAAACGATGCGTAATAAAAGTTAGTTACGAGCTACCACAGACTTAGCTAGCCATGTCTCCATCTGCACCAGCTACTTTCGCTTCTACTGTATTATCATCAATGGCGGCTGTTCTTGGTGGTGATGATGGCTGCACATCCACATCAGGATATGCCGCCTTGAATCTTGCTCTCAGCCCGTCATCTACCAACCGTACTCCTTGCAGTTGGTTACCCAGTGATAGCCACCTGGCACACACGCCAAACACCTTTTTTTCAGAAGCTAATAAAAATAATCGATGATCGGCTGTTTTGATATTTGATCTCCGAGTGCGAGGAGTGCATATTTGTCATGTGTTGTTCTATTACTCAGTTGTACGCTCAGCCTTTACCTTTTAACAACTAGCGCTATTTAATCTAAAATGCATAAATTTCAAAGTGTCTAATCATTTAATGCGTCCCAGGAATAACTGGGCCTAAACATCTACATGGTAATTAGGAAAGTATACCCAGCCTGCACGTTGTGCATCCTTGCAAACAACTCCAGCTTTCTTGTCCTTGGACTTATCCGTTCCAGCATGGCATACATCTACAACATGCAGTGCAATTCTTTCAGACGTATTACGTAGGGAAAATCTAGTAAGTTCTAAACTGGAAAATAGTTAAGATAGATAATGGTGAAATATAACATTCACATAACTTTAACCAAATACTGTATTGCCTAGGGGATGGTGGTAACGTTCAAAATTTGATAGTTAAGGAGAAAAATGTGCGACTTGAGGAATAATTATTGGGTAATAATTACCAGGGTAAAAAAAAAAGAAAGTTGTAGATATTCTTTCCTTAAGTCCCCTAATTGTGTTTAACAAAGAGGGGTGAAAAAAGCAAACTGACCTCATCCGGTTTGCGGCTTGTTTCACGAACTTCAGCCACAATGACATCAGTGTCGATATTTCTATTGACTTCAGGATTTCCCTTCACTCCAACAAGACAATGCTCTTTGCTGTGGTTCAGCCAATGGCCCGTCCGACCCGTTCTTATGATCCTCTGAAGTTGATTGGTCTTCACCCATATTATTTCCTCCACACGCTTGTAACCCCAATGCTCCAAGCTGCACAAACCATATCATGTTAACAGACTATGTGAGAGCATAATCTTTTGTTCGTAAGAGAATATTAACTGCCATTAACACGTCAGTCCGCACAAAAAGATGTGTCGATCACTTTAGAATTCTAAATGATAGAGCAATCTACGTGGCGAGGCTGATTATAACACACTAACAAATCTTTCTCTGCTGGATATCTATCAAATATCAGTTAACGCAAACTCAGATAACTTTCTTTAATAAAGAAGCCGGTCATGACATGTACAATTTGTATGTTTCTCAAAGAAAAAATAAAATTTAATATCTTTCTTGAAAGAGGCATACCATTCACGTCCAAGCTCCATTGCACGTCCAGTGACCCAAAGGAATATAAGACCATCAGTCTGTAATGCAGGAACGTTCAGGGTTCGCATTTCATCATCAGCCATAGTTCCATAAGGCAATTCCATATGAATATCCCAAGGTGGATCAGCCATTATAACCCCGAATTGCCCCAATATGTCCATTCTAAATGAACGTATGTCACAGTTGATCCACTGTGGTTCTCCAAGCTCTACTTCCGAGCAATAGTGAGCACTCTGGGGCTTCAATGGTTTCGGTGGAGGTAAAGTAGCTTGCCCCATAATCATAGGTGACGCATCAGTAGTTGAGTCGAGCTCATAATGTACGTACTTGCATGTCTGTCGAGATACTGAGTATTAGTATTTTTGTTCCCATACGAAAATAAATAAACAAAAAAAGTATATATATAATATTGTAGGAGGGAAAAGGAAGATTATGTTTGATTACCTTCATGTGACGGCAGGTGTCAAGAAATGAACAGTCCCCCAAATTCATATCTGTATGTGCGGCAATTATGCGCCGAAAGTGAACCTAAGACAAGTGAAAGAATTTAGAGAAAATATTACCAAACAGGAGCAATATGTATCACAATAGAACAACCAATCATTTTACCATCTTTTTCTAGTGAAAAGAGCATATCCTTATTTTCATCAATTTTAATAAGAGAAAAGTCCTCCTATAATATAACAATAGAAAATTAGCCATAGACTCACCTTATCACAAGCAATGAAGGAACCAGACTGACGTCGACAATCTTCTTTGGTTAAAGACGAGCAGTATTCTTTCACTTGCGAACCACCTTTGCTTTTAAACTAATACAACGGCAGTAATGACATGGCTTATTAGAATAACATCATAAGCTTCTTCCACCAGAAAACAGAAAATAATGATACCGAAAAACGCTTCACACCACCAACATAAGAATTCACACATCAAAGGTAAGTTCCACATGCATATCTCAACAGTGAAGAAAACTAGAAAAACACTTATTAATGACAATAAGATATTAGAACTTTCCGAAATATTACCACCTACAAGTTCAAAATTTACAATCCCATTCCCAAATAAATAATTAAATAAAAATAAAAATGTGCCAAGCAAATCAGTCAATTGTTAAAGCAAGCAACTAAACTTCGACCAAACACGCACCTTAGCTGCCACAGCAGTTTCTTTGGCCGTAGGCCGGTGTATGAGGTCCAGAAGCTCCTCACCCGTCTTCGACTTTTGCATTTCCCTAAAACTCTTCTTGTTCAGCAAAGCTTCCAGATCCTTCATGTCATCCTCTTCCGTTCTCGGCTTCACTGGTGGCATCATCTGCCTGTGCATGGAGGGCGGGACCCCCACACCCCTCGGCACCCCCACCATTCCCCCTACGCCCCTCGGACCAAACATCCCAATGGCCACACCTTTCCCGGAGGCGGCTTCACTGGGCCTGCTCCTTTCCCCCAGGCCCGCAGGCTCGTTCATCTGCCTGGTCTCCAGCAGCTCCTTGATAACCCTTGCCCGGTCGATGTTCATGACCATCAACCTCGACTTGCCACTCACCACAAACTCCTCCAGCTCGACCCCTCCGCTCTCCTCAGCCATGGACCTCAGGGCCATCTCCACTGCTGTAATGGGTCCAGACACTCCGCCCAGCTCCCTCAGCGCCGCCCTACCGGCCGCCGTGGACGATCGGTCGTTCTCCAGCTTCCTCAGCACCGTCGAGGAATCAATGGGGTTGAAAGGGACCCTCTCCAGCAGGCACACGGCCACCATGGACCGGACGATCGGTAGAGGGCCCCCGCTCTCCTCAATCAGGGCCCGCTCGTTCACTCGAAGGGAGGGTCGGGGGACGGCGGCCGGGATTTTGGGGTTGTCGAGGGGCAATTTGGGGATATGGGCCTTGGGCTGAGAGGGTCTCGATGGTAGGATTTGGGCGAGAGGGGTGAATGGTTTGTGGTTGAAAACGGAGATGGCGCGGAGGGAGAGGTCGAGGGAGGAGACGAGGTCGGGGACGACGGATTGGAGGGAGGAGATGAGGTCCAGCTGCGCCGTGTGGAGGGTGTCCACACGGGATTCCAGCTGCTGCCTCGTCTCCTTTATCGCTGTCACTGGATCTTCATCTGCTTCTGAAGGTAGGCCCTCCATTGATTTTTCTTAATTGAGACTTCAGTTTTCGGAAAGCTCTGGTTTTGAATTGCTGGGCAGTGCCGAGTTGAAATGTGGACGACTGTGTGTTTGTGCCCAAGGGTTCTAGTGAGGTTTCAACTTTGCAAAATGAAAGACCACCAAAATCTCTACCATTTACTAACAATTAGCTTGGAACCAACTTTCTATATATAACAAATAAATTTATCATATTTTCTGATTATTTAAATAATACAAATATAATTTTATTAATATGATATGATTTACTTGTTGTATACACAAGATTGACTCTATTATGGAGCTAATTATTGACTCTATTTATCATAAGATCATTTATAATTTATCATCAAGCATAAGTTAATTATTCAAATGAAACTTTGCATCCAAAAATTCATTTAAAAAATATTTTCAAATAAGTTATAATTTTTTACTCTTACCACAACTCAACATTACTAATGTTCCTCAGGGTGGGCTGTTGCTTCAAATTTTGGATAAGCATAAAGTGTTCACCGACAAAGAGCGAATCTTCTGATATCTGGAGTCTTCTTTAACAAGAACACACATCTTCAATTTCAATTGGAGATATGCAATATTCATGAGGGAATCAGTGTACATATATTCTCAAGGTATCTAGGGATGCCTTTTGTGATTGGGAAATCAAATAAGGAGCCTTTTGAGTTTGTGTTGACTGCAGTCAAGGGTAGCCTTGTTAACTTGAACAATAAATTTATGTCTGCAGCAAAGAAAAATGTTATGATTAAAGTTGTTCTTAATGCTCTACCAGTGTTTATAATGTCTTTTATTTTTGTCTTCCTACAAGCATTTGTCAGGAGATCTCAAGCGTGTATGCTAAGTTCTGATGGAATTTAGGGGATTACCAAAGTAATGCAAGTGTGAACGTCCTGGTCCGGCTTGGGGTATATCGATTCTTGTCCTCGCCGGTAGAACGCCGGAAACCTGCAAACAACTCTCACACCAGGGGTTGTGTCCGGTGAAAAGCCTCCAATGCTTAAGTCAATATGTGTTTGAGTATACTGAAGTGAATAATAGAGAAATCGTCTTCAAGAAGAAAGGCTCACCCCTTTTATATAGGGGTGAGATACCTGACCTAGAACTGCCCGGATTTGGTGAGCTGTCTGCCCTAACTGCCCGTCCGTACACACAATACGCGTGTGTCAGAGGTAGCCGTCGCCACTATCGCCTGCACCAATACCCTTTGGACGCGTGTCCTCCTGCACATGGGGTAAGCTGTCAGAGGTGGTTATTGCTATCAACCACTGCATTCTCGACACGTATCCCCCAGCACATGGGGTAAATATTCTCCTGAAATTCGGTTAGAGGCTCTCTCACGCGCCTGTGACTAGGCCGATCAGTGTAGTGTTAAGTCCTCAAAGTGGTCGACCTGTCGAGGCCGACTGAACTGCTCGATCGTTCATCTGGCCGAAGGATAGTTTGGTCGACAACTTTGCTGGTCGACTGGTTAGCTGCTCGATTTCCTCGACTTCCTCATAACACGACTTCCTCGACTGGTCAGTAAACTGGTTTAGTCTTGTGGGTATAATATCCTATATCATCTAGTCCCCCCCCCCCACTCTGGTCGAGTCTGAATGACTCGATCTAAGAGTGAATTTGTGCCTATCGACCTCCTGGATAGCATGGTGTCCGATATCGACCATCTGATGGATTTCCCGCTTATTTTTCAAATAATACCTCATTAATTGCCAGAGATAAGGTCGCATGTCACATGTTCTTTCTGTCGCGCCTGCTTTTCTGTCACGCGTCGCGTCTGCCGCATTTGTCAGTCACTTTAATGATAGCGTCTCCTCGCATGACGCGCCCACTTTGAGTACTGTGTAAATTAATGCTTTCTACCGTTAGATCAGGCTTTAATCCGACGGTCTTCATCTTCCACCTTTTAATTTTCCCTAGTATAAATTCCACACTTAGGGAAATTTTCCGATTTTTTCCACCTTTGCGAATTTTAGACTCTTCTGTGCTCAAAATCTCTTCTGCAAAAAACCCTAGATCTCTCGGTGATTCCTTCTGCAGCCTTTGAGCTTTTACAGTTCATCCTTCTGCGATTATGAGTAAGTTGTTCCTCATCTGATTTTACGTTTTCGGTATCTGAGATTTTGCGTTTTGAATTTCTTGAATTGGGTGTTTGAAGCTTGCTGATTGGGTATTTTGAATTTGTATGTTGGGTGTCGGTGTTCGCTTGTCAATCACCTGTG